TACGCAGTGGCATTATGGAGATACTTGCACCAGTGTCTACCAATGTTTTTACTTCGTCGTTGTCATTCATAGGTAGAAGTACATAAACAGCCTGTGCATCCAGAGTCGGTAACGCGACTTCAAAACCCTTTTCCACTGCATCAGGAAACTGCGACAGTTGCTGCATTCGCTCTACAGATAGTGCATTCACTTGCACATCTTTGCCAAGTTTGCACACTTCCATGGCTCGTGCTTCCGCTCTTCTACTGTTGTGCCGTGCTAACACGTCCGCAAGCGGTTCACGTGTCGCCTCCTTAAATTTGCCTTTAAATGTGCAAAACTTTGCAGGGTGCAGCTCATGACACTTAAACAAATCAACTGACCGGCATCATTTTTCCATTTATTAAGATCAATTTCAACGTTTCCGATCATAAACGGCCGTCGGCCGCTGTTCTGATTATTTTCAGTTTTCACACTGTCACCTTTCTCGTACGTACTTCCAGATTGTTCGTAAGAATTTTGGCGGTAGTTACCGTATCCGCCTCGGCCACCACGGCCACGATTGTTATTACCGCGGTATCCACCGCGTCCACGGTTGCCATTATTACCGTAATAATTGTTGTTATTATTTTGATTTTTGGTGTTATTGTACTCAACCTGCTGCGACTTTAAACTGTAGAACGTCTTCAACTGAGTACACACTTCTTCCACTGTTTTCGGTTTCGATTCTGTTAACTTTTCGAACCAGCGCCATCGGTGCGGTTTTAATCCCTGAATTAGAATGGATACCCGTTCTTCTTCACTTGTTCCCAATGTGTTGAACCAGTTTAGGTAACCATCCACGTATGAGTTTACCGTATGCGCGTCAGTAAATACACGGGCATACATCGCCTGCCGTATTTCTGCGGGATCACTCTCGGAAGAGAAGTGGCTTAGAAGTACTCCCTTCCAGTACTTCCAGTCTTTATCTGGATTCTTCTTTTTGTGGTCTGCGTACCACAAATACGCATCATCTTTCAGTGAGTTTGACAAAGCCTTATCAATTAGCTGTTTGTCATCCCAACCGTTCAAGTCTTGACAGCGCTCGCAATCAAGTATAAACTTTTCCACTTTCCCGCTTTCTTGTGTACCCTTATAATTTTGCGGGTAATGGGTCTTTTCTTTTGTACTTTTACCACTTTTATCAAATTTCTCCATTAACGCTATACTGCGTTCAATTAACTCGTCGGTACGAGTGTTTACACGCGGTTGTTCATGATTATCGTACTGCGCATCTTCCCACTGCGCATCTTCCGCTCTACGAATATCGCTTTCATACTCGTATTCATTATCGCGCACGGGTACATAATCACGGTTACGTTGGGTTTCGTTAAACTCCACCCGACGACTTGCATACGCCTGTGACTGCTGACCAGATGTCAGCTTTGGTGCTGCATCAAATGTCGCTTCCCGTTCAAACGTACTTGTATGTATCCGGGATTCAGTCTGACCACTGACAGTGCCACCTTTTGTTTTCAGAGTGTTTTCCCACTGCTGCAGCCTGGCCTCCCACTCGGCCAGCTGTTTTTGACGCGTTTTCGCTTTATCGAATTCATCTTCAATGCATATCCATTGACCTTGCAGATCGTCACGTTCTTTTTTCAGTTCTGTATCGACTCGAGATTCTTCTGCTTTTAATTTGACTTGGAGATCATCTCGTTCTCTCTGAGCAGGTATAAGGTCACGCTGCAGTTTGCCACTGTTAACCATCGAATCATGACATTGTTTTTCCAAATTTTTGTTTGTATTACGTACTCGATCAACTTCGTCTTTATACTTATCGTTCTGAGTACGCAAATCAAAGATGTCTGTATTCAACTTTTTCACGTTTTCTTTGCACTCTTCATCGTGCTTCTTAATTTTTTCTTTCAGACCATTTATTTCTTCATCCCGTTTCTTCATGTTTTCTTTCAAGGCATCGTTGTCATCGCTTAATGTGTGACACCACGTATTAGCCTTTACAAACTTCATATGCATTTCTTCCGTTGCGTTTAAACCGGCTTTGGCCATTTCTTTCATTTCGCCAAATTCTTTTTCATTTTCTATTCTGCCTTCCCATGCCAGTACAGTATTGTCATATTGTTCTTGATCAAGAGCAAACTGCCTCACTGCAGCATGTAACGGATGGATCACGTCCATCGTTTTATTCTGTTCGTCGCTCTGACCGGGAGCCACTGTACTACGCTGAAAGAACGGCTGTGCTGATAGTGGTTCAACTCCACCAGTTGGCACATCTTCATCAATGATACTCGCATTCATATCTTTTTCAATATTCGTAGCAGCTGTGTTATCAACTTCCTGCTCCTTATTATGCTGTACAAAAGCAAAAGGGGAAACAACCTTTTCCACAGTTTCACCAGCATTTTCATACGCATCTGCAGCTGCTGTTTGCACAGCTTGCACTTGCGCATTAAACTTCTGCATAGCAGCCTTATATGCTTCAACTGTGAACAGTTTTGTAATATTTTGTGGCAGCTCTCTGTGCTCCAACCACACTCGCCAACCTGTCGGCGGCTTTCCCATTTTAGCTTCATCATTGTCGTAAGTTACGAAATCTCTGCCACGTATCCCTGATTTAGGGACTGCAACATTCAGTTCATTCAGGAATGCTTCGATTTTAACGCCAATTGGCACGATAAACTTATCCGGTATCAACTCTGCTGCACCTTGCTTTACTGCTTGTCGCGTAAACTTCGGTTGCACTACCGGCTGTGACGCCGTGCTTTTCGAATTATCCATTCTTCAGCTTCTTCACTTTTTCACTTCAGTTCTTTGTTCAGCGCTCGTTGCACTGACTTCTTTTGTTTGAATCCGAGAACCGTCTTTTGTTTCACCCGGATACGTTAGCTACGCCTTTTGTTCTCCGTGTTCGTTAACACTCACTTTTTACAGCTCAAGCACTGCTCTGGCTGTCTACGCTTTAGCTACGCTCAAGATTGTGTGCACACTTTGTATGCTTCGGCACTGCTCTCAGCATACGTACTTCAGCTTAAGAATACTGTTTTCGACTCTGTCTACTCACAGTTTCGTTGCGCAACTTCTGCTTCAGATTTCCAGGAACACGTCTGTTCACTGGCTTAAGAATAATTCGGGAACATCAATCTCTGGCCAGGAGAACTGAGTCCCTACTTTAGTCAGAATTTACCCAGATTTGTGCTCAGGATCGATATACAGGTTAACCCTGCATCGATCAGCTGGCAGGACAAACTGCACAGCGTCCAGACAGAGCAAAGCTCCCGGACAATTCGGTTTTCGTCGTGGGTCGCAGGCACAGGCAGAATTGGCTCACCACCAACCCACCTGTCGCCAGTACCCGGACTACTTCAGTAAGGCGTCCAGTCGGCAGCGATCTGCCCGGACATCCGTCCAGTCAGTACCGAAGTACCCGGACTGAGCACCTGGGAATGTACAATTCACACACTTCACATATTACTTAGCTTAGCCTTAGGAAAGGTTCGAACTGACGGTGGGCGCCAAGACGGAGAGACGAGTACGATAGGGATAATACCGTAATATCTATCCTACCGACCTGACTCAACGACAGAGAATGAGCTGATAATTTCAATGTGGCATAGCCAAGAAATATGTGTAAGCTACGAACTACGCGAAGCGAGAATCTCACACTGCATTCCGACGATATATTTTAATAGAAAACTCCGACGCTGCCAAACTTCGAATGCGAACCAACTGATGCCAAATATACTGTAACTCTCGGACTTATATAGGCGCGAAGCGCGTCCGGTTAGAAAAGCCAAAAGTATAACCCAAAACAAAAGAGAAACTGCGAGAAAGTACAAAAATATAGCCGCTACCGTACACCATATTCCGTACACAGTAGTTAAAAAAATTCAAAATTAGCGATTTCGCGAACCTGTTGTTCTTGATTGACTTGAGACACAAGTTCAAATTGTGTTTTTAACGCTGCTTTGAAGTCCCCTGTTGCTTATTGCATTAAGGGATAACGAGTAAATGTTGCCGATCGCTGGGGAAAAAATCCCAAACACCTTGTCGCCTCCTGAACGCCACTGCCCGTCAACGGGTTAAGGCTTGCTCTAAACACAGTTTGCAATGTGTCCAGCTTGTTAATCGGCCCAATAACGAAGAAAACCGTACCTCGCAATTCACTTTTCCAGTCGGTACTAATTGAAATAAAATTCCCAAAAAGTGGACCCCAATCGGTCAACATTCAGGTGCTGCGACTTTCGCAGACAAGGTAACCTATAAGGATAATACGTAATTTTACCGTTTACAGCGTACCGAGTCTTGGATTTCACGTTCCTGGATTTCCCAAGCGAGATCGTTTCGTCTTCGTATTCCGGCTCGTCGTCGTTTTCCCAATAAGCTAGGCTCAGCTAGCAGTTGCATACACTGGACGGCAAAGGCTGTGCATAGTAGCAAATTGCGGACAAGAGATAGCACTACCAACTGTCGTATAAGGAAGGGGCTTGAAACGTTTGGCGTACGAGCTCATCTCGAGGGCTCTTTTCTCAAAAGCAAGATCAAACGTTGAAAAACCACGTTGATTTACTCGGCTTGAAAATCACTGTTGGATTTTTACGGTTGATTCTTGATAATAATATTTAAACGCTATAAACAAAATCGAAAGGTACCCAGTATAGTCCAGTATCGTCTGGCTTCCCAAATTTGCTGACCTTTCAGTCCAGTCGTGTTGTGACTTTTAAAATGTTGTAATCAGCATTCAGCAATATGGCTGTCGAATGTTTTACGCATATATGGAAACCACGTGAACACCAGACGTACAAACTTGTCAACAAACTGGACATGTGAAGAGCGCAATTAGAGTTATATAAAAGGCAGATCGCAATTAGAGCGATACTGGCGCTTTATTTTGTTATTGTTCCACAGTTGGATCGTTTGTATTACACCGAGCGGCAGCATATTTTGGAAAGGCTTAAGTATGAGACGTAAAATTTGCAGGTTGAGGTTATCTACATGAGGGACAACTATTACACAGAAAAGGTCAAACGATGCACACAATAAATTAAAGAAACTAATTTGCAGAACTGGTACTGTAGAAGTTCGCATCGGTGAAAGGTTTAAGGAATTGTAGGACATCAGACCGTTCACGCGGGTTAGTCTTCCGTCATTACTGCAGACGATTTCTCTTCGCCGGAGAATATCAAAGACAGCATCCAAATGACCGACCAAAATGAGCGATGGTTAAGTACAATGTGGCGCGCTCGGTAGAAAAACACAAGAAAATTCCTGTATAAGCAGTCCGTCGGGTCAAAGTTAATATCGGCTTGCATCTCGGCCCAGAAGATTTGTCGAAACTGGAGAATTACTCGACGGCACTTCCAAGTGGTAATGCAGCTACACACCGCTAAGCCGACACAGGGGAGGAGAACCACGTACGATTCGTAAAGTGCAACATTGACGGTATTATAATGCCACAATTCGCAGATAACATGGAACCAGAGCGCGAGAAAAAATCCCGGATAAGAGAACTCGATGATCCCCGCTAGCATCACCATGCTGACAGTGGCTACAATGACTACCGCTAACTGCAGATCTATAACCAATTTCAGGATGGCACTTTCACTGCAGCCTACGGAAAGCCACATGTCTTCCCGCACACTGTCGGCCGAAAAGAACCACTGTCCATACATCCTGCGCGAATAGTACCAGAGCAGAAAGGTGTACCCTAAATCGACTAGCGAGAGCCCGTTGCCGACTCCTTCAGGGACATACAGATAACTTATGAGGAAGGGCAGCTGAGCAGGCTAAAACAAGAAATAGTCGTATAATTATCGAGTCAGCGGAGTTTTTAATTAAACAGAAGATTCGTAATCAGCGTAATCATGGGTGAACGTATAAAAATACTTATACGATGGCGGCTGTCTGCTCAATGTTGCATGCTTAAATACACAAGTACAGTTAATAGTAGGTTTGATATTTTTTAAATCTTGGACATTTTTGGAATCATGGAAATGGAAATTATGAAAATTATGGGATTAACTATTACGGTTTCATTTGATAGCGCATATTTTTCTCAAATAAATTAAATACGGTGATTTTATATGTGGAAACCTTTTGGAAAATATGATATCCTTTAAATGTAGAAGTTTGTAGCTTACCTTCTCTTGGTTTTCTTGTTCCTGGTTTTCTTGATTGCCGAGAGACTGGATTCGTATAAAAATGCAGGCCAAGGCTGTGATTGAAAGCAGGTTGCGGGCAACAGACAACAGTGCCATCTGTCGCATAAAGGACCTAAAACGCTTGGCATATAATCTCTTCTCGATAGCTCGTTTCGCAGCATTATCAAACGCAGGATCAAACGTCGAAAAATCACCACACGACCGAGAACGGATAAAATGCGCCGGCTTTTGCACGTTTGGGATCGCGGAGTCATCCTTGGTCACTTTCGCTACCGGCATGGATTCAAAACTATTCGGGTTTGGAGAAATTTAATAACAACCGGAACAAGAAAAAAAATGGCATGAGAAGTGTGCCAAACGGTTAAAGGGGTGTTTACTGCAATAGCCAAAAGCGAAGTCAACAAAACTCTCTGAATGAGCGAGGTTATAACTCTATTTCTTAGAAGATCATTCTTAATGCTCGTTGAGCCTGGCTTGCAGTATTAAAATATTGTGCTGGCTCGTAGACGTGACTAATGGTCCGATCTGTGTACTCACCAGCTTGTCTGTTAACTAAATGTCATGATAAGCGCAGGCGGCACGGTTTATATTTATATTGTTGTTATACGCAGTATATTTATATTGTTGTTATACGCACAACCGTTCACATTTAAATGACACCGCCGCACCTGTTGCAAATAACCATTGCCGTTGCTGTAGGAGTACGAGAGGATGAATGAATGGATTGTTCATTCATGCCTCTCGTACTCATCGATCACGACAATGAAACACTTAACTTGCAGTTAGCCTTACGCCGTGCAGTATCGCACTAAAGTCATGTGAATGAAAAGTTATTATTCATTATTCTATATATTCGACATCACTCTGTAAATCAGTTTTCGAAAAGATTTGTCGCAGGAACAGCGGAATCAAGCACCGAACCTATTTCCGTAAAATAATCTGTTAGAGGCATAATAGTGATAATACTCGAGAAACTAAATAAACTTTATTTAGTAGAATTTATAGTGGATGAGATGAAGGAAAATTTAATAATAGTGAATGATACTAAGTATCCAGTTACATTTTGCAAGTTAAGTACTATAAGTAACAGCAAACAACTGCTTTGAGGAACAATGTAGTACAGTACAGTAATAGCAAGGTAAGCCAGTATGTACAGCACAGTGCTTATTCCAAACAATAATTGTACCGTATGTGGTGATGGTATTGGTACGACGTATATGGATGGTTTCACTAACATTTCGAAAAACATCATAAGTAGAAGTCTGCAGAATAAGTTATGTACACACTACGGAATACGGTACACAGCAAATACCTATAAATAAACAGGAAAACATTAAACGATAAGTGTAAAGAAATTAGCTCGCAAAATTGTTAAGCTGCAGACGATCGGATCGTTCAAATCTTTAGTCATTAACACAAAAGACTTCTTTCCGGTGCAGAAGATTAAAGACAACATAATCCACCCAGAAGACCGACCACTCGAAAAGGACCAGTAATACGAAGCGCACCCGGCAAAATAGCGCATAAGAACTCCAGTATACCCGCCATATGATGGGCCCTATGAAGAGCCCAATCCGTTTTGCAATAAGGCTTATAACAAAGTCGCTATCGACTCCGGCCCAGCACAGTTCTCGAAACGGTTGGAGCGTGTGGTGACTCTTCCAAGCAGGTAACATGCCGCACAGTGCCAAACCAATGTGCGGGAGAGTAACCAGAAATATGCCATACCCCGGCGAATCCACGTAATAATCATGCCACAATACATAGATAGCATGCCACCAGAGAGAGTAGAAGAATCCAGGATAACAGGACTCGATAATCCCGACTGCCGCTAACATGCAAACCGTGCCGAGTATGGCAGACGTGGAATACAGTCCCAGGCATGCTATCATGAGCTCGCTTTCAAAACAGCCTGCATAAATCCGCGTACCTTGCAACACATTGGCTGCCGACAGGAACCATTGTCCACGCAGCTTTCGCACCCAGAACCACAGCGACAAGACACCGAGTAAATCGGCAAAGGAAAATGCATGACCTCCTATCCAAAGGAAAGGAAAAAGCTGCAGGAGGAGTGGAATTCCATCGGACTAGAAAAACAACAGTCGTACAACTATTAAGCCAGCACAGCTTTAATTAAACAACGTAAAATATCAGGATGGACAACAGGGTTTGTCGAACCCTTATTTTGCATTTTATTTAAGACTTCAGTAAAATTAGTTCACCTAAAATAATTGCCAATGGCTCGGCTTGCTTACCGGTCCAACAACGTTAAAAACAGTACTTCGCAAATTACTTCATTCTAGTCGCTACCCGTAAAGACACTTAAGTGGGCCAGTATGCTAAGTGAATGGGCGACATACACTTAAGTGGGCCACCTTCAATTATTTCTCTCCTGATTCGTTTTTCGTCCAGTTTTTTGTTTTGTCAGATTCACGAGATCTTGCTCTTTTTAGAGTACCTGAAATTTTTAAAAAATTTTGAACCGTTTTTTAGTTATTTGAGTTGTAAAAAATCAGTGACGAAACAGTTAAGCCACGCCACCGAAGCCACTGCACTACGTAATGATGACACCATACAACTACCACACTTGTGCGGCTGCAGTGTACACAAAGCGTCTGCATTATGCGGCTGTGTTTATTAAACACAACCGCATCCTTTAATGATTTGCGCCCGTCCGTCCGATATAACATTTATTGTCAAAAATACCATATTTACCACCAGGATTAAGGTATTCCGCGCCACGGCGTGAATATTAGCAGCCTCTCTTACAGAAATTCCCTTTTCTTTAACGTCAATACATGCAGCAGTCAAGCGTTTCTCCATTTTATTGCTTAACTTTGATGGAATACACAAATCATTCGAATACAGCGAATTTTCAAAGTTTAAATGTAAAATAAAAGTGTATGTGTGATTTCTACATTGCAGCCGCACAACTGTGGCAGTTGTATGGTGTTATCACTGGTAGTGAAGTGGATTCGGTGGCGTGGCTTAACTGTTTCGTCACTGATTTTTTACAACTCTAATAACTAAAAAACGGTTCAATATATTTTAAAAATTTCAAGTACTCTAAAAAGAGCAAGATCTCGTGAATCTGGCAAAACCAAAAACTGGAAGAAAAACGAATCAGGAGAAAAATAACTGAAGGTGGCCCACTTAACTGTATGTCGCCCATTCACTTATCATAGTGGCCCACTTAAGTGTCTTTACGAGTAGATAAAATGTAATTGCATGTACGTGGCCCAAAATCGGCCAGCCGGTGCTGCAACTTCCGCTGACCGGGTAAGATAATAATATAAGTGAGGCTGCTTAGCGGAGCCTACATATTTACCCAACTGTCGGGTAAATATGTCCGGTAAATACGACATATGTCGGGTAAATACAAAATTATGAACACTGTATTTTCTGGTGTTTTGTGAAACGTTCCATTTTTTGAACCTGGAAAACTGATTTCGACTTTTGCCCGCTTTTGAAGCACTGACTTTAAAATGCATTCAGTAATTTATTGTATTTATTGCAACAAATAAAAATGGCACTCAAAGAACTGAAATACTGAGGTAGCGCAAGCGTGAAATCAGTTTTTAATTCTCTGCAATTGCGATTAAATAATATATGGTGAAGCACACGGAACTGTTACCGTTAATGTTATTACACATATTTATCCTACAGTGACGCAGTCACTTAATAATCGTTATAAACAGTAAGAGTGTGAAAATAATTACCATTCTGTGATTCTGCTCGGTTTTAGTTCCGTTTTGTTTAGAGTAAATTACAACTATTCGCATAAATACAGATAGGTGGCTTTGCGTTCACGCAAACCCGACTGACTATCGCAGTCGCCTAAACAACAACACATTGCACCTATCAAAGGTGTCTGTGTGAACGCAATTCTGCTCCCTATTTAGGTATCTATTTAGCAAAGCGCGCCGCGTTCACGCAAACTGCTAAAAAACTGGCCGTTTTGGGCGGCGCTTCAATAGAAAATGGATAGATAGAAGTCAGCGTGAATCCGGCCTAAGTCTTTAACGGTTATTCGTATACAAACACTATGCAAAAGCAAACCGTAATATCACGGCGTGTGCCGTAAAAGTGCTGATGCATACTGTTATAGTGTCACCCTGGCAGCAATACACCATTACCTATGCTACAAATTTGGTAACGAGCACGAAGAAATATTTTTTTGAAGTTTTTGAATGCGATATGCACAGCCCACCCAAAGAAATTTCTCTGGTTTCTCTCTATCCATTAAAAGGTATGCCTTAATCTTAATTTTACAAATTTAAACCGTACCTTCCACTGGATTTCCCGTTCCTGGTTTTCCAACTTGTCATCGCCTATCAACCGTATATATCTGACAGCAAAAACTGTACAAATTAGCAGGTTGCGGGCAAGGGAGAGTAGTGCCATCTGTCGTATAAGGAGATTGAGACGCTTGGCATACGAGTTCTCGAGAGCTCGTCTCATCACATTGTCGAAGGCAGGGTCAAGCGTCGACAAATCACCACTCGAGCGGGACCGGATAAAGTGCTGCGAATTCGGCGAATGTCGGACCGCGGAGTCATCTCTGATAAGTAACGCTACAGACATGGCTGAACAACTCGAATTTCGAAGGAATTTATGCCAACCGCGCAAGCATCAATTTTAAATATGCCTTGATTTAACTGGCAATAGTCTTCAACACAAAATGGTGCATCTGCGGGACACAAATTTCAAACGATTTCAATTAAAATGGTGAAAACGGATGAAAATGGCATACGATCTCGCAACTATGCAACACGAGATGCTGTAACAGGCAGCAGCAGTTTATTTATTCAGCAAATCAATAGCACCACCGGAACGAGTACATCTTTTCTTAGCAAGTACTCAAAACACCCGATACAATTACGCGGTATATTGGCTAAACTGTCATAATTTGAGTCTTCCGGATTTGTTGCCCTTTTATGAAAGCTATGCAATGCCAGGAGCTCCTTTTGCATCGATGTTGATCTCGTTTTCTCACCATAGTCTCTCTCCTCTATTAACGCTCCGCGAAAAGCATACCGGTTGCTTTACAGGCGGAGAAAATGACCGATTGAACCCTGCTCACGAGAACGTCTACCTACGTCAGCTGACAGCGACTGTCTCTCCAGATTGATAATGGAAATGAGGCATCCGTTCTATAGGTACGATGACCATTTACATTTCGATACATCAAGGAAATAGATTTTGTTCTCATGATAGTTAGCACCCGATGCTGCTTTTGCTTTACTCTTCATTCGTTTGTTTGAGGATGCGTTCCAAACAACTACCGGTACCTTGATTAATTAAGATAAAGTAATTTATTGTCTAAGAATGAATGATTGATTTGGTGGGTGGGCTCTGTGGAGATGTACTTGTACATAATGCTCTGTGGACGTGTACTTTGGTAGCTTTTTTCAAGGTCAACTTCTACCGGTACCTGAGGGCGGCATCGTGATAGATCCTTTTT